CTCTTTTCTTTTGCTGGCCTAGACTGACTTGGTCTCCCTAGATAAAATGCTTTGTTCAACAATAATTAGGTGGTCTAAATTGTATTTAAGGTGATTTGAAATCACGTCAGGAACAATTTGGGTTGAATTTAGGTTGGGTCAATAACAAGTCGTGTTGATTTCGAGTCGGGTTAGTAACAGATTGTGTTGAATTTTTTGGTCGGGTTAGTAATAGGTCCGGTAATATTCGGGTTGGTTCAATAACAAGTCGGGTTGAATTTGGGTCAGGTTAATAACAAGTCGGGTTGATTTCAGGTCGGGTTTGTAACAGGTTGGGTTAAATTCGGGTCGGGTTAGGAACGAGTCGGGTTGAATTCCGGTCAAGTTAGTAACAAGTCGGGTTAAATTCGGGTTTTGACGGGCTAAAATGGTTTGGGTTAATTTTGGTTCCAGTCGGGTTCGGTTCAGGTCAATAATTTACGGGATACATTTGAGTCGGGTCATCTCCGGGTCAGTTCATGTTCGGGTCCGGGTCTCACATACTCGGGTCAACTCGGCTCTTGAATTGGTTTCAAGTCGGGTCAGGTCGGGATGGTTCGGTTAATAATCGGGTTTGAGTCGGTATTTCGGGTCGGGTCAACTTTTGACTGCTCTAGAAGTTACCGACAAACTGTTTAATTATGCCACTGCAGTATTGTACTGCTGTACCTCTGTGATAATGTCATCTCTTCCTGTTATTTGTTTCGTGCTGTAAGTCAATGCTCATACATTTGTTACAGGGTCGTGTTGCTTCAACCGGAACACGGGACAGTCGTGTAGAGATCCTCGTTGGAGATAATGGTTGGGTTGAACATAGCGAAAATGGCATAGCATATTGTTTTGATACCACAAAATGCATGTTCTCCTGGGGAAATCTTTCTGAGAAACTTCGCATGGCCCGTATGGATTGCAGAGGCGAAGTTATTGTGGATCTTTTTGCGGGAATTGGATATTTTACATTGCCTTTTCTTGTAAGGTATTCTTGGATTTCCTAACTTGACACATGTGTACAACCTGTCTTCTTTTATGAGAGTTCTTCTGAGATTGGAGCTATTGATTTTTATTTTAACAGGATTAAGCCTTGTCTAAATTATGCTTGAATCAGTTCTGCTTCCCTAGTCCCCTGTGGACTGTAAGTGTATGTATACGATTTCTTTGACAAATCTATATTTTGTGTCATGAGATTATAGGGTTGATCTTAATCAATAGACTGACAATATTGTGTTAGTAATGAGAAGAGTGTTACTGAAAAAGAATGATACTAATGTGTAATAAACTGGAAATTTGCTAACAGTGAAGACCAAGAAGTAAGATTGAGAAATTTTTAGTGGGTTTTGATTACACCCACCTAGAAATTCAATTGCCCTGTAGACCTGGCATCACTCCCAAATCCCAAATCCAAAAGGCAAAAATGCACACACACTTTCTGAATGAACTGCCTCTCTAGTCCTCCCCTCTTTTAATTACAATCTTTGATATTTTCTTTCCTTTAACTAACTAACTCGCTACGTCATACTTCTCCTTAATAGAATTATTAGGAGCTTCCCAATTTACCCTCCTTGTTGGGCCTAGCTTAGTGAAAGAGAATGGGGGTTTTTTGATTCTAGACAGCTTGCAATGTGGCAAATTTCAAATGTGACTATCAGAACTTTGAAATCAGTGGCAATCTTTTTCTGTCGTATATGGCATAGAACTAGATCTTTTGAAAGGGTCATACAAGTTGGTCATGGTTTTAGCATTGAATTCTAACTCTTCGAAGAGTGATTTTTGTGCTTTGTCTCTTGACGTTATAAAAATGATAACTGTGCTATACCTTTAAATTACAATACATTTATACTGAATAATTTTCTTCTATTGGTTAATCAGAGGTAATGCTACATTGGTTTATGCCTGCGAGTGGAATCCCCATGCTGTTGAGGCTCTTCATCATAATCTTCAAGCCAATTTGGTTTCTGATCGTTGCATTGTACTCGAAGGAGATAATCGTCTTACAGCTCCTAAAGTATAGCACAATTTCTTTGTTTGATTATTTTTGTAAATCATACATCTACTATTTTAGATTTTCACATGATATGTTAGTGTTAATGAGCCCTTTGATGATATACTCCTATGAAGATTGATTTTCATTAGTTGTTTGAGTGTTTATGAACCCTTTCATAATCTATCTTATGATTCTAGTCTGGTTATGCTTGTCCCTGATGCTGATAGCATTTCATGGTAGCTGCTAAATTTTGATAACAAATAGAGATATAGGGGTTGTGTGATTTGCTAATCAGTAGGGATCCAATATCTGCGGCAATTGAAACTTTAAAAGTAATTTCATTTTGTTGAAGCTGTTGCTGATGTTGATTCATTATTCATCCTTCCATCCTTCCATACAGGGAGTTGCTAATCGTGTCTGTCTTGGTCTCCTACCATCCAGCGAGGGTAGTTGGGTTACTGCTATAAGGGCATTAAGGTAATTTCTCTGGATGACTTATTCTTTTAATATTTGGACTCAGCATGTGCATTAGTAATCATTCAGCATCACAAGAGAATATGACTATCTTGTCTCACCTTGTTGCTCATTTCAAGCATTTCGACATCTTTAACTTCTATGCTAATTTTTTAGTAGAAGTAAAATCTGATTCTGACCCTAAATGGCTTGAATAATAAGCAACATCTTATTGGGGGTTCATTTTGAAAGAACAGAGTTAGAAACACCCTTATTAACTAGTAATAATCCAATTCTATTTACAAGTTCTACAACTTCCCCATTCAAATGTATGTCATTGCTTGGGTTTTTTTTATAGGGTGTGGATATTATTCATCGGTAGGTGCCTAGGTGGTAAGATGACAGTTATGGCAGTGAGTATAATTTATCTTGCAAGGAAATTCCTATGCTAGTGAATGCCTGCTCACTAGCAAGTCCTAAGCATCTCTTTTCTTTCATAAATTTCAACACTATAACAAGTGTTTGGGGTTTAAGATAGCATTACCATGAATATTGAGATGAAACTTATCCTACAAATTTAGATACACCAGACAAGCCCCAGAGGTAATTTGAGATAGTTAAAACATTAACTTTCTGAATAAGTAAGTTTTGCTAGTATTTGGGATGGTCTAACACAAAGATATGGTTTGCACTCTGTAGGGACTGAGGGAGTAGCTACTAAGTAATCACAGAAGGAGATAGTACCTCTATATATGTTTAGTTTTGATTTTCCTTGATGTCCTTTACATAATCCTAAAACGTGATTGACTTGGATTTGGATGGTAGGTGTGAGGGTGGCACACTGCACATACATGGAAATGTGAAGGACTCGGAGGAGAATCAGTGGACTCTACATGTTATGGACTCTATCTCTGAAATTGCTAAATCTGAAGGTATCTTGTACTCTTCTTTCCCTTCTTTATGCTACTTAAACTCTCAAATTAATTTCTGCCAAAAGAGGTCGAAATATTTTTAAGCCCCCAACTTGTCAAACTGTAATGAAAACGTACATGTCTTGTAGGTCACTGTTGGAATGTTTCGGTGGTGCATTTGGAGAGAGTGAAGTGGTATGCTCCTCATATCCGTCATCTTGTTGCTGATGTAAGATGTGAACAAATTCTAAAATGAAGAAATTTAGTGTCATTAGTACCTAGAGCTAATCGAAGTCACAGGTTCTTATAGAATCAGAACGGAGTTACAATGCATGTAAGGATACATGCTATAATGCATTTTAAAGGACATATTTGCAATGTTAGTTGCTTTTTTGTAGCTTAAATCATAGTTGAGCTCAAGCTCAGGTAATATTTTGTTGGATTTGATTGGAAAAAACCTGCATAGCAAATGTTCGAAATTTGAGTTCCTTTCCTGATTTGTGAATTGACTGAATACTGCTGCTTGGACATATAGCTGGCCCTACCAGGAAAAAAGACCTAAAAAAAAACACAAATAACAAAAGAAGGTGAAGCATATAATGGAATGGTCCAAACATGAAGGTGGAAACAAGTCGTTTGGATGTGATTTTGATTCAAGTCATTAGAGAAGAATTATTCAGTTTGGTTTTGGTTGAGGCGTGGGCAATATATTGAGTTGATTATTCTTTTCTTTTTCACACAAAAAATCAATTAAATGTAGGTTAGGTTAGGTTAGGTTAGGTTGTGTTGTGTTGATATCGGCTCAAGTTATTAATCAGATAATTCAATTAGAAGTTTGTTCGGGTTGGATCAGTTTGTTAGGTCTGGCCAATTGAATACTATACGAACTAAAGTAAAAGAATCACTAGGGATAATGATTTCACTATTCACTATTCACTATGATTAGAATAAGGACTATAGCTTTGAATTCCTCATTATATTTGGTTGCATTCTGTTATTGTCCTCATTTATCAATGGCTAAGTTTAGTGACATGCCAAAATTTATGGTGTATATGTCTGATTGCATTGTTTTTTTAAGCATGATTAAATAAATGTATTTTAGGCAACTTGTGAACAAATTATATACTGCATTTCTGGGTACTTGTTAAAAGTCCAAATTATTATACCAACTTGTTTTTAATATCAATTGTTCACAATTCACTAGATTCTAACTTATTGTTTGTATAAATTTCATATGAATGCATAAACCCATCTGTCCATCAATCCATAACTCCCAAAACAAGCAACATTATAATAACCCAATAATTTAAAAACATAATAACAAGAAAATTCAAAGTTAGTAAGGTGGGATCCAAAGCTGATGGTAACTGCAGGAAATTGATGAAATAAAGGCTAAAACTCCTAAAAGCAAATTAATTTTCTAAAGGAATATTTACCATATAACTTAGTTAATTTTTAATCTATATATAGTTCCATCATCTATTAATACACATATTTTCGAATAAATTTCTCTCAAACACGAATTATATTTATAAAGATAATGAATGAATTTATAGTTGCATACATCAACATGACCGTATTATAATATTGTAAGAAGTACTCCGTAACATTTACCAAAATATTTTGAGACATTATAGATGAAGGTTTATTTTTCGAATAGCAAAATGACAGCTAATATGGAACAAAAGAAGTACGTACCAATAATCTTGTAGTCGTGTTAATTAACGCATACATTATAGATGAAGGTTTATTTTTCTAGTTAGGAGGACCCCACATTCCTTTGAAAACAGGAAGGAGGGATGGAAGAAGGAGCAGAGCAGAGATATTGGAGCAATATCTCCCAGACCACAATGAGAGCATGAGTATGGTACTTGATAGGTTTAAGTCCATTGGAATTGACTCTAAAGGAGTTGTTGCTTTGCTAGGTAACTTTATTCATCATTTCTTGTTTACATGCTTGTCCTTACCACTATACATACATCTTAATATATGCTTATACGTACGACCGTTCTCATATACATGAAATAATTTTATTATGATCATACATGAAATAATTTTATGAGACGTAGTTTAGTTGGTTGTTATAACATTAAATTTTTAAATGATCTACTTATACGCAGATTTTAAATCTCATTTACATCAGTAGATATTCTTTAATTTATGACAAATTACTTGAAACATGTATTATTTCAAATATAATCTCACCAATTTTGAAAACAAAAGTAGTTTTCAATATGCATATAGACAAATTAAAGCAAAGTAACTATATATGTGGGGTTTATCACATGAATCTCATCATCCCATTTTCAATTATCCAAAGATACCATCACAAAGTGTTCAAGCAATTCAATTTAATATTCTTCTTTGATCTACTCAAGTTTCATTTTACTTTTGAATATATATTCCACTCAAATAAACTTTACTTTTGAGTCTTGTAAGTGACATCCAACAAAGTTTTTTTTTTGACCTTCTCTTCCAAGATTTCAATCTATTTACCAAATTTGTCTAATGATTATATATAGAGTACTACTAATTACTTTGATTAATTAACTTCTTAATCACAACCATTGATTAAGTACTTTCTTTTGGAAAATTAAGGTGTAATTATGGACCCACAAGGGCCAAAACCCTAATAAAAATAATTAATGCTTAGATAGTGAACCTTAACCAAAAAAATTAGAAAGCCAACTAAAGTTGGTAGTTAATAATTATTCAATTTAACCTTCAACAGGAGCTCATAGTGTGGGCAGAACCCATTGTACAAAGCTGGTCCACAGGCTGTACCCGGAAGTCGACCCAAACTTGAACCCGGACCACGTACCCCACATGCTAAAGAAGTGTTATGACCCGATCCCAGACCCAAAGGCGGTCCAATACGTGAGAAATGACCGTGGTACCCCTATGATTTTCGACAACAACTACTACCGGAACATATTGGACAGCAAGGGTTTACTCATTGTGGACCATCAACTAGCCACAGACAAGAGGACTAGACCATATGTGGTTAAAATGGCTAAAAACCAAGACTACTTCTTTAAGGAGTTTTCAAGGGCCCTAACCATTTTGTCTGAGAATAACCCACTTACTGGCTCTAAGGGTGAGATTAGGAAGCAATGCAGTGTTGTAAACAAGCTTCAATAGATCATCATCATCAACAACTAAATATTAATCCTTGTTATGCATGGATTAATTAATGTTACTAATATGTACGTGCTAATTATATTAAGTATTAGAATAAAATGGTGTTCTTATCATTTTAGTTCTATATATAATGGTATAGTTATCTTAATGATTGCATATACCATCATATTGTAAGCTTCTTTGCTTTCATGTTTCATGTAATGAGTGCAATATGCATGTTAGACTGTTAGTAAAAGTGGTGTTTTCTTTGTAAGATGTGAGGGAATTGTCAATTAATGTATCTCCCTTCTTTTTTTAAATGCCATAATATATTGACCGTATTACTCTAGTCATGTATAATTACTTCTCGTAATATTTAATTTACTAGTTCAAATTACTTTATCATTCTATATCATTGTAATTCATCGTGATTTATTATGTTGATAAATAAAGATTTAAAGAGTAAATAATTTTTTATTCTTTTCATTTTGAAGATAATTTAGAGTTCAATTGGTTGATTATTTAACTTCAGAAGCTCAAATCTAACTATTCTGTATATTAACTAATTTTAACCATGAATAGATCGAGTAATACTCAAACTTGACTCGGCTCATTTAGATTTCTAATAGCACAGTAAAAACTCTTTTTACTGAGTACAACCTAAGCCAATAATGATTGTACTTGTATTTGATAGTGAAGCAGCAAGTAGGGTAAAAAGAAATCATTTACATTCCTTAAATCCTTATCCATTATTACTTTATTAGTGTCGGTGGCTTGTGTTATGTGAATATCATATACTTGATTGTATAATTACAACTTGGAATGGCCCAAAAATTAAAGGGAGTGTTACATAGAAAAAGTCAATTTCAGAAAAATGTAGAATGTAGCAAATTATAATATATAGTGGACCATAAAATCATAGCACATGCATAACCTTATATTATATATTTATATGTATAGTGGGACATATTGTAAGAAAAAGATTCCAATATGATACTAGAGTAGGTAAGGATCCAATTATTCATATCTTGTTTCCAAATTAAACTAATGATTTTGTAGGTTATTTGAGGGCAATGGAGTTAATGATGCTTAGCTAAACAATAAATTTTCTAAACACTCTTTCTAATAAACTAATATATTAAATAGAATTGCAGGTTACTTGTATTAATCTAAAATCTTTTTTTTTTTTTTTTGTTATTCATGGTGATTTTTTTGTTTAAGTTAATGAAGTGTAGATGTATGAACCTCTTTTTATTTTATTTTTTTTGTTTAAGTTAATGTAGTGATAAATTGTTTTATAAAGATACATGAACTTTAATTTGATTTATAGTCGTCAATTTCAAGGTAATTTTGGCGCCCTAATGAATTGATTTGCCCTTGAAATTAGTGAAAGATGAAAAGATGAAAACTTTTAAAAAGAGACTTGATAATGGTAAGTTGGTAACCCAAATATGTCCCACAAATAAGTTAAGGTTTTGAACATGAATTATCATGGATATAAGAATTTAGTACTTTCAAGTATGTCATTGAGACTATATAAAGGTTAATAAGTTTAAAGATTACTCCGTATTATGAATAAAACAGTGATAAAGCCATTTAAAGAGACTAACAACTCTTCAACTAACACACATTTTGCCTTAAGTTCATGGGCCTAGCTTGGTTTAAACTTCCAATGAGGAAAGATGCAATCAGGCCCAAGCTAGCCGGGCCGATTCGGCTAGTACAGCAAGTCCGGTTTACAGCTTCTGTTTTACTACTATCAGGCCACATGACAACATGAATGTTATGATGCATGTAACTATGTAAGGTGTAACATACATTCCTTTAGTAAGCAGCAACATAGATTCTCTGATTTTTCTCTTTAAAAAGCATTTGCACTTGATTTCAACTATGGATTGTATGGAAAAGGTTTCAGGAATCTGTAGGTAGGTTAATCTAAGAAGACATACTCTATTTAGGTAACACAAAATATTCTATGCGGACCATGTAAGGCAAAAAAAATTATGTTACTTATGGTTAAGAAATTGTTTAGATATTCTAAGAGCGCGATCCACGAGTTGTTGTATTAGTTTTAGTCCTAGAAAATGTCTTCGTCTTTTAAGGTGTTACAAATTTTAGGGAAAAAAGTTTGGAGGAACAAAGGTGATGAGATAGAGGATGTACATGATCCTAATGATGATCAAGCTGTACAACAGTTACGCGAAGCACTGCTTCAAGAGCAGGACAGGCAGGTTATAGCAGATAGGAAGCCATATGATTATCATACTTTATTGAGGTTTTTGCATACAAAAGACTATGATATCTCAAAAGCTAAAGAATCATTTCTCAATCATCTAAAATGGAGGGAGGAGTTTGGGGTTGACGCGATTGCTAAAGAGTTTAAGTTTGAGGAATACAAAGATGTTCATAAGTTTTATCCTCATGGTTATCACGGCGTGGATAGAAGTGGGAGGCCAGTGTATATTGAGAGGATGGGGATGTTAGACCTTGAGGGACTTCTTCAGAGAACAACTCTTGATAGGCTGGTGAAGCATCATGTGTATGAGCAGGAAAAAACAGCGCGATTGAGGTACCCTGCTTGTACAGTTTCTGCAGGGAAGCGAATTGGTTCAACCACAGCTATTCTAGATGTGAAAGGGATTGGAATCTCTAGCTTCTCCAAACAAGCAAGATATCTGTTCTTGGAGTTTCAGAAGATTGACAGCAATTACTATCCTGATACTCTGAACAGCCTTTACATTGTCAATGCAGGGTCTGGTTTTCGCGCTCTTTGGAAGGCTCTGAAGACTTTTCTTGATGCACATACTGCTGCAAAGATACAGGTGCTTGTTTATTTGGTCCTTAAAAAAATTGTTCTTTTCAAATAGGTAAAGAAGCAAAATAATGCTAACTTTACAGGAAATTAAATTATTGTTCAAAAAAATAATAATTCTGAAACGTGTTTTCAATGCATCAGGACTAATAAAAGAATATGTGCAGGTTTTAGGGACTAACTTCAGAAGTAAACTCGTTGAGGCTATCGATCCAAGTAACTTGCCAAGTTTCCTTGGTGGAGAATGCTTGTGTTCTGATCATGGTGGATGTATGTTAAGCGATAAAGGACCATGGAATGATCCGGAGATTTTACAGCTGCTTAAGTCTAATAAGATTGAGGAGTATTATGATGATACAATGAAAGTGGAACAAACCTGGTTGAGTGCTCAAAGTACACCAGATTACAAAAACAAGCAATTCACAAAGGAAGGAGAAGATAATGCACCATTATCAGAAACAATAAAACAGCTGCAAATCACAGCTGATGAAGCAGAGAAAAGATTTCGCGCTATGGAAGCAGCACTTGGAGAGACTAAACAGGTGTTGCAAAGATTTTCAGAACAATTAAAAGGTCTGCAGTTGAAGTTGGTAAACACTGCAGAGTCGAAGACAAGTTGAAATACATAGTAGATTAGAATTAGTACTACTTATATCTTAGTTGTTATTATTCTTCTTGCAGTTGATCATAACAAAGTGTACTATATATAGTCCAAAATAAGTCACTATTAAAATTATGTTGCTATTGGTGTTTATGCATAGTAAATTAGTAATCTCACTACTGAAGTTTTCATTTTAAGAAAATGAACCAATAAGAGCCAAATTTTATTTATTTTATAATATCAAGAAATAAAATTTTCTTTTTCTTTTCTGTTCCTCCAATAAAAAAGAAAAAAAAAGGGTGCAAATGCATTATATCAGTGGACAATGGTGGGTAAAGGCGGCAACATAGAAAAGTCTTTGCACAATGCAACCTGACTAGAGTTTACTTATGCTCAGTACTGCTAGCAGACTCTGTAATGACAGCTTCGTTTGAATCAACATCAACGCGTGTTCTTAGTCCTTGGCTATAACAAGGCCATGGATGGACTGGCATGTAATGGCTCCGATAAATTCCATCTAAAGACCGACATTCATAAGTTGAAGCCGGGTGAGGGCAAGTAGGATATGCATTCTGAACCACAGGCCAATACATCAAAGGTGGCATTCCATTAGCTGGCCGAGGTGGGAACAACATCGGACCGTTCGGACATAAAGGATGTTGATTGTAAAATATATTAGGTTGCAGGGAGTTGAAGATTGTATGATTTGATGATGGCATAGTCTGAAATGCTGCTTTAGGCTTGACATGAGGTATTGTGCATGTTGCTTGTGAAGGCCTTTGTGAGTTTCCATTCCTTGCAGAACTTGCAGTTTGCTGCTGCTTTTCTTTTGATCTTTTTGTTGTCTTTGTATTAATCTTCTCAAATTCAGGACTAGCCTAAGGAAATTACACAAAAATGTCTCATATTACGAGCCAAAGATAGATAGGCTGTCAAAACAAAATAAATGCTAGTATAATACCGTGAATCAACTAAAAAGAAATCATCTTACAAGTTTAGAAGCTGAAGATTTTGCAAGGAAAAGCTCCTCCCCTGCTGCATCTTCATCTGTTCTGTAATTAAGTTCAATACAAATACAAAAGATCGATATTGTAATCGACATAATTATAGTTAGAACCTTATACATTGAGTACAGACTGAATTTACATACCTGTAGTACTTCTGCAACAGGTCTAAGCTTCTGTACTTAGTTTCCCTCTGAACAATGTCATCAGGAAAACCTGCCATAAAGAGCAGTGTGATACCAAGTGCCTTGAATAAGAAACTCCCCGTTCTAACATTGACTAGCCTCGCCATAAGGCAGATGAGTGGACCAAATGACTTCAGCTTGTTTCGTCCCATTCGTTGCCTTACATATCTTTTGCAACTCACATAAGGTTACATACTTATATTAGGTCACAAGTACAATATACATATGTAAATTTGTATTTTCATTAGCTAAGATAGAGCTATATATATAGTTACGTGCAAGATTAAATTGATAACTCCATGTAAGTTATGATAAGGTGTAATAAGTTCAGATAAGTATTTCTTAGTAATAGTAAGGAAGCCTTACTCATTTTGCGGAATGTTTCTTGTACTCCCACCATATTTGATGCTCAGAAACAAGCATGATGGACATGTAACATCACATGGGCGCATAGCTTGTTCCTCCTCTAGTATCCGAACAGGACATAACACTTGGTTGTGGCGATTGGGGTAAAACACCTTCCTCCTCACTCCAGGATTTTCGAATAAAACATGATCCTGTAATAATACATGAAATAAACAACCAAACTAACATCTTACTAGTTATGAAGCACAACAAACAACAAGAAATCATTTATAATACAAGAACTTATTTCATTGGTTACCCCTGGATTACTTTGTGATATATAAGGCTCCCCTTTCCTCAAATGCTGAAATGGTTGAAGTTCAATTCATACATATCATCACACCCATGCCTTAGGCCTAATGACGCGAAAACTATGATCTTCCTCATGGTATGAGCCTGAGCATTCTTCATATCAAGCACACAAGACTCCAATATTCCCCTTACTTCTTTGGGGCAAAAACCAACTTTAGGAGGCTTCTTTTGTAAAGACAAGTTTCTAAATCCTTTACTTTTCTTCACTTCTTCCCAATCTTGTTCCAATTTTTGACTCATACTCGAAACATCTATCTCATTTAGTCTATTTCGCGCACTTATCTCTTTGGAGTTCATACACGTTATTCCTTTACCAATGGCTTGGCCTACACCTTCTTCATCTACAATTTTCACATTATCTTGTGCATCTTCATAAGTGCACAATTCATCTTCATTATCATCACTATCATCTGTATGACCTTTACATTCCAACATAGATTCGACATCTTTAGATTTGTCGAAAAGCAAAGATTGTGTCTCATTATCCATACACATCCAACTTAAAACACCCTTCTCATGTTTCAAATCTTTTGGAGATCTTAGATTGTTGTCATTTATATCAAGTTTTTCAGCACTTTTTTCTATCTTTTGTCTCTTATGTTTCATGCTATCTTCAGTACTATTTGGATTACTAATCTGCAAAAGAAAAATTATAAAGTAGTAAGATTAAAGATGATCAAGCTGTCTAATGCAAGGAGATGCTTCATGGTTACTCCAAAAACATACATTAGCACAATTATCGAAATTAAGTAACTTGAAATAATATTAATTACTCCATAGTAATGTACATTGCAACAAATTTTTCTTAATCTAGTTGAGATTAATTTTTTTTTTTCACATATCGAAACCAATTCAATACAAGCAACCTCCATCACTAAGAAAAAGAACCTAGCTAGCTCCTCACCTATAATAGATTATTGTTCTAGGCCAGGGTTAGATATACGTAACCTTACCCCAAACTTTTATTATTTTTTGAATATTTATGACTCGTTACTCACGTACTACATACGATCAATGATAAAAACACACATGTACACTCTCTAGGATATGTAGAAGCTTTTAGTCCAATACAATCTTAGAGAAATTTGTTCAATATATGTGTATATCAATACATGTAGAATAATCTTTACTAAATAAAAGGGAAGTTTGGAAATAAAAAGTGTGTTTGATCAAATGTTTAAATCCGATTTAATTTAATCCCTAAGATTAACTTGGAGTGCTTCACTACCAACCTTTAGCTTCCTACATACTTCATAGAAAATAAAAAAATGATGAACTTAAGAAGAATATATTATTCCACATTAAACTTAGAATTAACCACCAATAATTTCATATATTCCATACAAAAAAAATTCACTTAAGAGGCAAGAAATTAAAATAAATCAAAATAAAAAAAAAATCAAAAATGAAATGAAAAAACATACTTGAACATTAATTTTCATGAGGGAAGTAGAAGAGCTCTTATCTCTTTCATGTTGTATTTGAGCTTCTAGAGCTGATATCCTTTGCAAAAGCTCGGCGTTTTTTCGCCTTTCGCTTTGTAGCTCTGCTTCTACTTCATCCATGTTTACCATAACTTCTTGTGCTTCATTCATTTCTTATACTATTGTATATTCATCATGCAAAAATTAAGGAAGAAGCAGCCTAACTAATTATAAGAAATAATCCCCCGGTATTCTCATTAGCCTCAAAGAGTATATATACAGAGAATACAAAATGCTAAACTAGGTTTACAATAAATGTCCTAATTATATACACAATATAATAATATAATACACCCCCGCAGTCGAAGCGGGAGGTTTGTGAACGCTAAGACTGTTGCGAAAGTCATCAAAGAGAAGTTGAGGAAGACCTTTGGTGAATATATCAGCAATTTGGTAGCGAGAAGGGACATGGAGTACACGTACTTGACCAAGAGCAACTTTCTCGCGCACAAAGTGAATATCCATTTCGATATGCTTGGTTCGTTGGTGTTGAACCGGGTTGCCGGAGAGATAAACTGCACTAACGTTGTCACAATAAACGACGATGGCTTTCTTGATGGGACAATGAAGCTCAAGGAGTAAGTTGCGCAACCAACACGACTTCGTAACAACATTAGCCACCCCCCTATATTTAGCCTCGGCGCTGCTCTTGGAGAGGGTAGGCTGCCGTTTGGCAGACCACGAAATCAGGTTGTCGCCGAGAAAGACACAGTACCCCGAGGTGGACCGACGCGTGTCGGGGCAGCCCCCCAATCCGCGTCTGAGTAAGCAATGAGGCCCGAGGTTGAGGAAGGATAAAGATGAAGACCGAGAGAGATATTGCCCTGAAGATACTTCAAAATTCGACGGATGGCAACCATGTGTTCTTGGCGAGGATCGTGCATATACAAGCACACTTGCTGTACGGTGTACGAAATATCCGGCCGAGTAAAAGTCAAGTATTGAAGGTCCCCGGCTAAGCTACGGTAAAGAGTGGGATCATCCACGGGAGGGCCGGAAGAGGAGCTCAATTTAGCCTTGGTATCGACAGGAGTAGCCGAAGGTTTACAAGATGACATATTCGCACGAGCAATGATATCGGCAGCATAAGATTTTTGAGAAAGGAACATACCCCCCGAATGTCGAGTGACTGAGATGCCAAGAAAGGAGCTAAGTGGGCCGAGATCAGTCATTGCAAACTCGGCACTTAGCCGAGCCATGATAGATAATCGAAGATCATTAGATGAAGAGGTGAGGACGATGTCATCGACATAAAGAAGAATATAGGCCAAGTCTTTCCCATTAGAGTAGACAAACAATGAGTTATCCGATTTGCTATGAGTGAAACCAATAGTAGATACAAAGGATGCAAACCGGTGATACCACGCCCGAGGGGCTTGCTTGAGGCCGTAGAGGGTCTTTTTGAGAAGGCAAACATGACCCGGGTTGTCCTTGTCACGAAGACCGGGTGGTTGATGCATATAGACGGTTTCGGCGATATCTCCATTCAAGAATGCGTTTTTGACATCCATTTGATGAATGCCCCAAGACTTGGAGATAGCAATGCTAAGAACGGCCCGAATAGTTGCCGGTTTGACCACCGGACTAAATGTCTCATCACAATCAATGTCAACTTGTTGATTCCTGCCATTAACCACAAGACGAGCTTTGTGTCTCTCAAAGACACCATTAGCATTCTTTTTATGTTTATAAAGCCAAATGCAAGGAATAACATTGACATTAGGGGGACGAGGAACTAACTCCCACGTCTTATTTTTAATAAGAGCATTAAACTCCTCCATCATGGCATTATTCCAATTCGGGTCGGAAAGCGCGTCATTTGGATTACGGGGTAGGGGAGATGGGGAAATTTGACAGTTGAGATCAAAGAGTTGTTTGGGCTTAAAAATCCCATGAGAGCTCCTAGTGGCAATAGACAAGGGAGGAGGGGGTTGTCTGCGAGTGGGTTGGCCCAAAATAGGAGGAGGGAGTATAGGAGAGTGAGTTTGGGCTTCATTTGAGGGAGTTTGAGTTTGATTGAGCCCTGCTGATGGGCGGCCCACAGAAGGAGGGGGGGAAGGGTGAACTGGTGAAATAAGGGGAGTAGGAGTTGGATTGTGGGCCTGCAACGGCTGGGCCGTTGAGGAGGGAGGAGTAGATGGATTATGGGCCTCAGGAGGTGGGCTGGGCGCATTTTGGAGATGATGAAATAAGGCAGGAGGTAAGCCTTCATCCAAAAAATCGTAATCAGTATGTTTGGGAGTGTTTATTTTTGCAAATGGAAATTGAGTTTCATCAAACACTACATGACTCGAGATTATGATTTTTCGGGTGGAAATATCATAGCACTTGTACCCACGATGGTTAGGTGGGTAACCCAAGAACACACATGGTGTGGAACGAGATTGGAGTTTATTAATTGAGGTTGAGGGAAGAAGGGGATAGCAAAGGCAACCGAACACACGTAAGTGAGAGTAAGAAGGATCTTTTTGGTAAAGAATTTTAGTGGGTGAAGCATAGGCAAGAAGTTTGGTAGGGAGAATATTGTGGAGATAAGTAGCCATGTGAAGAGCATGGTGCCAAAAAGAGGGGGGCATAGAGGCATGAGCAAGGAGGGTACGTATCATATTATTGATAGTACAGATTTTCCTCTCGGCTTTTCCATTTTGGGAAGATGTGTGAGGGCAAGAGAAGCGGAAGACCATTCCATTAGACACACAAAAATTGCGAAAAGAATCATTGTCATATTCACCCCCATTATCACATTGAAAACATTTCACATAACGATCAAATTGAGTACGAGCAATAGCATTCAATTGTAAAAATAGAGGATACACATGAGATTTTCGAGCAATAGGAAAAGTCCAAAGAAAATTTGTGTAGTCATCCAAAAATAACACATAATAATGATGGCCGGCACTACTTAATTTAGGAGAGGTCCAAATGTCACTATGCAAAATGTCAAATGGTAAAGTAGTACAAGTAGTAGAAGAGTAGAATGGAAGTTTCACATGTTTCCCAAAAATACAAGAGGAACAAACAGTAGAATTCAAAATCCTATTACATTGGATAAAATTGTTCTTCTTGAGAGAGCTCAAAATGGAAGATCCGGGATGGCCTAGGCGATCATGCCACAAAGTAGAGGATAGGGCAGCAAGGGCGGTGGGGGGAGAAGGTGGTATGGCGGTGGAAATGAATGGGTAAAGCTCCCCCGAGCTATCACATCTCATACGAATTGTCCCCGTCCGAAGGTCCTTCACAGAAAAACCAAACGGATCAAACTCTATGGAAACCAAATTATCACTAGTAAATTTGCGGACAGAAATCAGATTTTTTATGAGATTAGGGGCATGAAGAACATTATTCAAAGTGAAAGGAGGGAGGGAAGCATGACCATGACCACGAATCGGAATGCTACTACCATTTCCAACAATAATATTGTGAGGAGTGCTCAAATTAAAATAAGAAGAGAGAGTACCTTGATGAGAAGTCATGTGAGATGAAGCGCCGGTGTCCATGTACCAATTGTCATCGGGTTGGTGCAAAGAGAGAGTGTGCAAGGCAGCTTCGACATCGGTGGGAGCATAGCCCACGGAGGAAGGAGGTTGGGCAGTGAAAGCATGTTGTTGCTGCTGAGGTCTAGGGCCTAAGATGCCTCCTTGAGAAGACCGTGGCCCAGCAGGAGGACGAGGCCAAGATGTTGGGTACGGACAGGGTGGTGCGGCCCAAGGAGGGGAGGCCCAAGCGGCCCATGGAGGGTACTGCCACCCCAGAGAAGTGTTCCACTGCCAAGAAGAGTGAGGAGGTTGATGTTGCTGCTGCCCATTACCGCGGCCACCGCGGCCTCTGTTGTTGTTGCGGCCACCACCGCCGCGCCCTCTGCCGTGACCACCACGACCACCGCCGCGGCCGTGATTTTTCTGGTGGTTGCGGTGTCCGTGAGAAATAGAGGACGAGAGATCGTTGTGAGCAGAGTTTGAGATTTCCGTAGCCATTAAAGCAGAACCAGCAGCATTGGCTTCATTCGCGGCTTGATTAGCTTGACGCGATTCTTCAAGAAGGAGCATTGATCGGGCTTTGTGAAAAGAGATAGGTGGGTCAGTTTGCTGAAGAATAGCAGCGACATTATCATAGGCCTTAGATAGACCACGGACAAGAGTGATAACGAGGCGGTGATCGCTGACTTGGGCTCCGACATTAGCTAATTGGTCGGCGAGCATTTTGATATGCTGACAATAATCGGAGACATTGGCAAAATTGTTTAAATCAACCTGAGAAAATTCTGATTCGAGTTGTACGGCTCGATTTGTGCGATTGTCTTGAAAGATGTCCTTCAGTCTCCCCTACGCGGCTTCGGCGGTGATATCGGGCTCAATGATGGGCGTTAGAACGGTCGCACATTCCACACTCAATCAAATAAATTTATAAATCCTAAAACTAACCCCTAAACAAGTCTAGTGGTAAGTTCGGAGTCGAACCACAAGGAACGGTAATGCTAGATTGTTCTTAATCTAATGCCTAAGCTATGCCGAAGTCGATTTACGGATAAAGGACACTACAACTACACTAAAACACATATAAAGAACAAGGTATGATAAAGTCTACTAGGGGAAAAGATCCACTTTGAACAATTAACAAGTTAATGGGAATCGATTTGATAATCAATCATGCAAAGAAAGAATTAAAATGGGAATTAATTACCATCAAGAGCAATCTCTCAAATTCCTAGCCTAGATCCCTCATTGACTAGGTGCATAGAAGAAATTTACCCAAAATGCAATCAAATATATAAATTCTAATTCACAATCCCTTGTCAAACTAGAACTAACATGCAATTAAGTTTGCTATCTTGGGAGATCAATCCAATCTAAAACAAACAACATGCCATCATCAATTCAATCAATTTAATCACACAATTATCATCAAATTTATCTCAAATAACTCAATTAACCATAACAAAGCTTCACTCAACACCTAGTAGAAGGAAATCTACTCAAACATGATTAACAAAGCAATTAATAAAGCATAAAGAGAGAAGAGAGTAAGAAATGCTCATTGATATAAAATGGAGATCTTCAAATCATCAAATTCCTCCTTTGATTATCCAAAATCCATGAAAGCCATTGTGCTCC